TTCCCTTTAAAAAAAAAAGGTCTGGTTTTCCGGGGTTTTTTTTGAGATGTTGGGGGAACATTCCCAGGGAAACTTTTTTTGGGCGGGGGTGGGGGGGGATTGGGGAAACCTTTTTTGGGGGGTTTGGCCGGGAGACCAATTTTGAAAAGGGGGGAAAATTTTTGGGTTTTTGGTTTTTTTTTGGAGGAGGGGGTAAAAAAACCTTTTTTGGGTTTTGCCCGGGGGGGCCCCGGGGGGGCCATTTAAGAAATTTAGGGTTGGGGGGGGGAAAGTTTTTTTTGTTTTTTTGGGGGGGGGGGGGGGGGAAGGAAACCCCAAAATTGGGGGGAATTGCTTCCCCCCTTTTTTTTTTTTCCGTTTTAAAATTAGGGGGGCCCAGAAAATCCCCGGGTTTGGGGGCCCCCCCCCCCCCCCCCCCCACCCTTAGGGTTGCGATTTGTGAGTTGTAGGGGTACAAGCTCGTAGGTTGTTAGAATTGTTTGGGTGATGCATGTGTTGCGTGCTCCTACAGCAATGCTCCGGAGTGCGGTGGGATCTCGCACATGGCTCCCTGCACCTGTCGTAGACACCAAAAGTCGCCTGTACAGTGCTGGCCTGTCCAACAAGATGCATACGTACGGAAGTCCCAGTTGCGTGGCAGCCGCAGATGTAAACGCTTGGAAAAACACACCATGCCACGGCTAAACACGAACACCGCGCCACCCTCGCTTTCGTTCGGTATCGCAGGTTGTCCGCTGCGCCATCATCAGCCTGGCGAAGGAAGCCAAAGGCCGTCACATCGAGCTGTCCCTTCGCGCCTCCGTGGTGAACAAGGGGTTGTCGCTGTCCCAGCTGACGAAGGGAAGTGGGGTGTACGGGTCAGTGGCGTCGGCGGAGGACCATGGGTACGTGGTCACGCTCGGCCTGGATGGCGTTACCGCTTTTCTCCCGAAGAAGGATGGTCCCAAGGACGGCCTCGAACCGGGGCAGCCGGTAGAGGCTGTCATCCAGGCAAGATGTCACGGCATGGCATGCAGGAAATTTAAAATTTTACAAGTGCACTACTTATCCGAGTGCAGTCGAATTTTGTTGGGCATGTATTGTTCTTTGTACTGTTCTTGGGTTGAGGCATGCAGGGTAGGACAATCCATACCAGTGGGTGAACAAGCGCCTGCTTCAATTCAAGCGTGAATGACCTCTTTTTTTTTTTTCGCGTAGCCGATGTGTGATACTTCTGTCGTAGTTTCCCAAAGGCCAGACCTCAAGGGCAACACGCACCTCGGGTGTGGTGTTGTGTGGCGTTGTCATCAGCGTGTGCCAGGATGTACGAGGTGTCGCCACGCACCTCAAGTTGTTTTTCCTGCTGTCTAACCTCTTTCTATTAACTGTTAACAAGCCTGTGTTATACCCTACCGGAGGAGTTGTTGTAGACCCGCCCGATGCGAACCCCCACCCAAACAGCTCCCGTTTTTGTCACCCCTCCCCTCAGCCACAACATAGCACCCACTGACGATCGCACTCCCCCCCCCCCACCCCCCCTCATCGCTGTTGGGTTGTGTGTTGACAGACGGTAAAGGCTGCTGCTCGCACGGTGACTCTGACAGCAGATCCTTCGCTAGTTTCCTCTGCTGTGACCCAGGGCACGTCCTTCGACCTTCGCTCCCTCAAGCCCGGAATGCTCGTCGACGCCATCGTGGACAGCGTGCTCTCGAACGGGATCCTCGTGAGTGCCGCATTCTATGCATACAGTGCAGCGCAATACTCCCGAGATGTTCATAGAAGCGTTTTAGCTATTGTAGAAGCATTGTCGTTTGACGTGCTTTCGACTTATGTTCCGTTCCGTTTCCCTCCCGCGCTCCTTCAAGCCAAGCAACAGATGTGATTGTTTTGGGTGGTCACCAGCTGTAACCCACCAGCTGCATACAAGTAAAAACTAGATCGGTACTTTTGATTTCGACTCCACGAAGTAGGTGCGGCTACCAGATTTTGTAGAGTTGACTCTCGTCTTGCGGTTCCAGGTACTATACATTTGGTGTACCCCTATGCCTGTTCAGATATTTGTCCGTGGCATGGACAAGTTCACATGCATGTTTCAGGGGATCATTACTCCTTGGCATGTACTGTATACTAAAAAAATGGTGTTCCAGTGGTTCGGTAAATTAGCCACAACCAACCGGATGGAGTTGCCTCTCATCTGACATGATTCAATTCCAGGTGAGTTTCCTCGGCTACTTCGCCGGGTGCGTGGACCACAACAACATGCCTCTCGTCTCCGGAGACGGCAAGGACGAGCCCAAAGGATGGCGACCGCTCTTCAGACCGGGACCAGAACCGGTCCGCGCTCGAGTTCTGCTGGTTGACTACGTGAACAAGGCTATTCGCCTGACTCTCCGTCCTCATCTGATGGAGATGAGAACACCCTCTGGCTTGCCGCCGACCGGGGCGTTGTTGGAGGGAGAGGTCGTCAGGGTGGACCCTGCGTTGGGCCTTCTGCTTACGGTGAGGAACAAGGTTGTGAGGGGAGGAACAGCAAGCTACCCCAGTGGTACGGTTCTGCAAGAGCAGCAAAGATTGGAATGCACGGGTGGTACCGTACCGTACCGTACCGTACCGTGGTTTCTATGCTATGGTGAATAAGTTGGTTTCGTCGCTGACAAAATGCAAGCGCTACAGACACGCGGGTCCTTTTGTGTCGAGTTCTTGGGATGTTTTCCTAAGGGTCGTGTCGTTGTTGTCTTGTTACTTGCGTTTCGCCCAAGCAGTGGCGTGCTTCCTAGACCATTACTGTGTTTTGATATATAGAGATGCCGCCGTGTGACCTTGTTATGCATGCTTTTATCGTTATTCCCTGCTGATACGCTGTTGAATATAGCATGGTATGCTACGGTGTGGGAGGTCTGACGCCGTCCCTCAACATGGTTAGTTTTTCAGACAGACGCAGGTCATGCTTGATCGTCATGATCAACACCGCTGTTTAATTGCACGATAATGACCGCTCCGACACGCTGCCTGTCTTGTCTTGTCTTGGTTGAATTTAACTCTCTGAAGGTGCCGTCAACGGAAGAAGACGACGGAAGCGAAGCAGCCGGCAACGCCCCTGCCGCCAAGAAGGAACGGGGGCAGGGCCGTCGAGAACGTCGAGCGGCAGCAGCAGCAGCAGCAGCAGCGGCAGCGGCTGGCGGCGACGAGGACGACGGCGAGGAGCAGGAAAAGAAGTGGAAGACCATCGGCGCGTACGTGCACATCTCCCGTATCTCCGATGAGAGGGTGGAGCATGTGGAGAAATCTTACAAGCCTGGACAGAAGGTAAGCACGACTAGGTTGAATGTTGTTGTGCCGTTAATCCCTAACTCCAGCCTGAACATGGACTGTGATCGCCGCAAGTGTTGCTTGTACCACTGTGTCTTGTGTTACGGAGGTTGTGTTACGGAGGTTGTGTTGATAAATAGCTTGGCTAACGTGGATGTTTTGGATCGTGTTGTTCGGCACGCGTACTGTGTGCGTGTTCTTTTCGCCATGATGAAGCGTGACATGACGGCAGGATACCTGATGAGAACACCAGTTAGCATTATTGCCGGTAAAGTAGGAAGTAGTCGTAGCGGGCAGCAAATCGGTGGAGGTTAGATTCCAGTCTCTCTTTTTTATGTAAGTTGTGCGAAGCACGCTTGTCCCTGAATAACCCCCCCACCAATTTCAACCCCCCGGCACCCCCCCGCTATTGTGGTGGATCGATCAGGTCCGGTGTCGCGTCACGGGGTCCTCGCTCGTTGAAGGCTGGGCGGCAGCGTCCCTCCGGCCCTCTGTCCTGTCGGCTGCCGTGTTGCGGTACCAAGACCTGAAGCCCGGTTCCCTCGTGGAAGGGGAGGTCGCTGCGGTGGAGGCGTTCGGTCTCCTCGTGAAGCTGGGAGAAGGCGTTCGTGCTCTGGTTCCCAAGAATCATCTGGGCGACGTGGGCGTCAAGAACCCCAAGGCTCGCTTCAAGGTACTGCTTTATGTATCTGGTAGTTGTGCATGATGCATGTCTCTGGTTCTCTCCGCCTGAAGATATCTAGTCGCTGGGCTAGGGTTGGTTCCTTTTCTTCGTGGCCGCTGTTCCGATGCGCCCGCGAAGCTCGCGCATCTGTCAAACGGCTTCTCTCCGTGTCGACAGTTGTGACGGTTGCGGTTGTGTAGTGTGTGTGGTTGTTGTATCGCGTGCTTGAGGCTCGTGATGTACTCGCTTTCCTACCGAAGCCAAGATATCCTGTTGTTTAGTCTGGTATGAAGAGGGATAAGAAAATATAGAGGGGTGTCGATGATGCAAGATGTATTTGCTACACTCGACTGTCGGGATGACGACACTTACCACCAAGATCGCTGAGACACCCCACCCGTAGGAAGCTATGATTGTTGCACGCTGGCACCTGGGAATAGCTCTCTGCTCTGCTACATCGTCAACTCTCTCGTTTATTTTTGACCTAGCGGTAGAGTGGCTGGTGCTGGTGACATTGGATGCATTTACCAATTTGATGCCTCGGCCCTGAGAAAGTCATCGCTTGCACAGAGTTGGGTACGAGCAGCTCTACACATGGACACGTCATGCATTGTTTTGTTTTTTACCAAGGATATCATGGGGTCTCAACGTGTGATTTTGTTGGTGGTCGCGTTGGTCACTCGTTCGGTCGATGCGGGTTCTGTCCCGTCCTTTGTTTTCCAAGCTGAAGTGGTTATTTTCCAGTTGTTACTTTCCTCCCCACTTACCGCACACTTAACAACGTTAAATCTGGCAAAACACTCAACACCAAGAGTACTCCTTACGTCCATCAATCTGCACAGTGCGCTCAAGCCGCTTGTGGTGCATGTTTTCGGCAGTACCCACGTTGAGAACCGCCTACCCTGAGCGAACAAGCACTTCCGTGCTGGGCCACCTTTCCGAAGGTTGGTGTCCACGCTCCTACAGCACTCTGTGTGCGTTTCATTAAAAGCGTTTTTTTGGATTTTATTGTTTCTTGGTTCTGTTGGACAGGTCGGAGCGCGTGTGAAGGGGCGAGTGCTGACGGTGGATGCTGGGTCAAGCAAGTCCACGTTGACCTTAAAACGCTCCATGGTCAAGGACAAGCGGGAGGTCATCTCCACGTACACGGAGGTATGTTGTGTGTTGTGTAGGTGAGGCGAGAGTGAAGCGATGAAGGCAACCACATGGCCAATATTTTTCCTGTTCAACTTGTTTTGTCCCGTCGCATTTGTTCAACTTGATTTAATCGCTCCCGCACTCCGGCGGTGTACTATCCGATCCGATCCGATCCGATCCGATCTTATCCTATCCTATCCGATCTAGATAGATCAGGCGGCGCCACACAGGAGGGAGGACGCACCACAGTGTTCGTTTTCTCTCGCCATTCACTTTTTGTGCTTGCTTTGTTTTGGTCGCGAGAAGGATTCAGCCGTTCGTTCCTCTACTTGATCGTGAAGTTCAATTGTTTTGTGATCTCGCAATTGATCTCTTTCCAAATTCTCTGGGCATGTGGTGACATTCGATCGAGCCCACATGTTGAATGTTGAATGAGAAAAGCTTGCCAGGTTACGTGTTGCACCACTCCGCGCGACCGGTCATACCACGCTTTGCTGACCAGCCCGACCCCACTTGAAGTATTATTGCTGTGCCACGTTCCCCAGAACTGCCTATTTATAGTTTGGCCGCCACAACCGGCCTTTTCTTTCTTTTTCATGTGCCAAATCAAGTGCGTTTGAGAGTGGGAAGTGCAAAACAAGTTGCGACGTGGTCAACAACGTGCCCAGTTGATGGGGCCTTTCCCATCTCCGGTGTGGTACGGTAACACACGCAATGGTGTAACCGCACACGGTTGGAGAATCCAAAGCGCAATCTATATGATAGACGGGAGGTGGGTCCAATTTTCGATTGCCGCCTCTCCCTCCAGACCAGGAAAAGTGATGAAAATATCGAGGGTGGTCAGACGACAAGAGAGCGGAGAGGAGAAATGCCGAGAAGGGTCCCCGCGAGGGGATACCGGGGGGGTACCAAAATGGTTTCGCCCTTCTTCGCGGAGACCTCTTTTGGCATCTCATTTCTTAGTATCTTGTTGTAGACAACGCTCTCGGTGACTGATTCTCTTTGCCGGGGATTTGAGAGAGAAATGCGGGAATGTGTCTTGTGGATCCACCCAACACTTTCCAGTGACCCTCCCGAAGAAAGGATTGCAACATTGAATTCGGTTTTATGGAGCTATCCTACGCCGCCGCCTGCTCTCCGTGGCGACCGGCGCTTGAGCTCCATCCACATTTATTGCTACGTCATTTACGGTGGTTGTGTTGATGTGTCATGTACAGCCTTCTCAAGTCTGTTTTTTTTATTTTTGCGCGGGCATCGGGGGCTTGCCGAGCATAACACCACCACCACCTCGTCACAAGCATAACCCACATGGACCCAAAGTATCTGAAAGGGCTAGGGCTTCCTGAATTGCAGACTACTACAGTAAGGTAGAATACCACAAGGGCCGATCGATCGGCTCTCTCGTTCTCCGTGAGAGCTGTTCGTTGATGGCGAGAGCACTTTTCCGCGGTTGGCACCATCTGCAGACCACAAGGCATGACGTTCATTACGGGTTTCAAATACCGCATTTCGACAAATAGACGAATGCTTACGCGTGTGGTGTGTCTCGGATGGGTGGCTCGCCAAGTGTTGGGACCAAGAGCCAAGAGCTGGGAGGAGCACATCTCGCTTGTACCAACTGTTGCACAAGGGCATCTTAAACATCCTGAGATTTTGCTCTCGTACAGCTCGTCCAATGAGAGAACAGAGAGAAATGCGTAGAAACTGCCACTTTAGGTTGCCTTTCCCGAAACGCGGTGCTCGAAAGCGAGGCCCCAAGGTCGAAAAGCTGCGGCCTGACAACCGTGCTCACGTCGGTGAAGAGAAGACAACGCTTGTCAGTTGTCGAAGACACGGATTCCTTAACAATATACAGGGTCAAGGTTGCACTTTCGCTGCCTGCTTCACGGCCCCGTAGAACCATACTTGCTAATTATTATTATTGCCTTCCTCTCATGTCGCATTTTGCATGTGACTTTGTTGTGGTAGGCGAAGGAGAGAGAGGGTACGGCGTGCACGGGTTTCGTGACCAAGGTGGCTCCGTTCGGGCTGCACGTGTCGTTCTACGGGAACGTCTTCGGACTTCTACCTTCCAAGGCCCTGACGAAGCATGGCATCCAAGATCCTTCGGAGGCCTTCGCCGTTGGGCAGGTGTGCGGACCAGGCCACACGAAATGCGTCCCCAGACGTAGTGCTTGATTCATGTTGCATGGCGGTATGGCGGGTACTGGCCCCCAGTACGTGTTCACGGCCGTGTGTGATGTTGACAGTTTCGTACTGACAATGTTTCTTGGCCAAATCGACGATGATGTTGGTGACGAGATCGCCCGCGATTGAGCACATGGCGGTAGCAGGGGCGCACTAGGTCCCGCCTTCAACGCTTGAGCCATGACATGCATTAATTACCTTGTTACCGCATTGGACCGCATACAGGATAGCGGACAATTTGGATCGGTCTCTCGGGTTGCTACCGTGAAGTACAGCAGTCGCTCCTCGGTTTAGCACACTGTCTTCAAGGGCACTTCCCTCGGTAAAGGACAGCATTTGTTGTCAGGGGCACGGTGCCCCAAGGAATGTAGTGTAAGGACCGTTATCAATCTCGAGCACATTTTCGTACCATGTGTCCTTGAACAAGGAACGACCGTATATCCCTGGTCTCGAGTACGATAAACAATACCGATGCACACTTGACAGGTGACACTTGTCACTTCATAGTCGTGTCTCGTTCTGATCTATCTGACCTTGCACTACGCTTTTTCGTTATGCACACAATATCTTGTCACCGTTCTGACGTCTGATATTAGACTTTTTTCGGTGTCTTCCAAGCCTCGTGACTTGTGACCCTGTGTTCGCAAATTGGTTCGATGTACGGTATTTTCGATGTAGGCGATTTGCGTTTTGGACCAACAAATATTCATGTCTCACTCTTCACTCGCGCACCAACAGCCCGTGGTGACCTTTCGAGGACATGACCCCCGGGTATAAAATGCGACGAAGATTAGGCTGCATTTTCGAAGCTCCCTCCGTTTGGACGGGAATCGTATTTGCTCTGCCCCCGGCCTCTGACCTGCTGAGACACGATTTTGACCCCCACGTTTCAGTGGGATTGAAAGCCGGGTACATTTTACCGAGCCTTGCTTTCTCTCCCGCATGTCTATAGGTGTAGCTTTCCGTAGTTTGACGGATTATGTTTGTTTTTCATGGTATTGGAACGGAACAGGGCAGAGACACGTTTGGCATGTTCTGGTCGGCGCTGTGCTTCAATCCTGCGTGTGTTCCATGGTGTATTCACGTTGTACACTACATGTGCTGCTGGTGGGGTAAGCTTCCCAGGGGTTTATCGAATTCTTGGTGGAGGTTTGCTTTACGCTTTTTTCCTTACCGTCATAACAGGACTTTCCCTCGGTTCTTCTATTGTTTTAGACGAGCCTATCGTGACCCGTTTCATCGCACAACCCGCGACGGTCCTTATTTTTGTTGGTGCAGGTTTGTGTCTTCTATAACCTCGCATGAGCGGGATGGTTCTGGTACGGTAAGAAGTTGACCACAACCTTGCTTGACTTGATGATGATTGACACGGCGCCGCCCCGCGTCAACGTGCTGTGTTGAATGTGGTTTTTGTCAGGTGGTCGGGTGTGTGGTGCGATCGTGCGACGTGACCACCTACCCTCCCAAGCTTGCCCTTTCTCTCGACGTTGCCGGAAAGACGGAAGAGATGGGAGGCACCGGTGCTGCTGAGGAGGTAAGCCAGCTGACGCAAGAGACAGACAGAAGATCTATATATCGCACATCGAATTGAAATAGCTGTGGTGTTTCCGTTAGAGCCATTATTGTACTGCAACATTGACCATCGGTCTGGTTTTGTTGTTTACCGCTGTCCATCCTTACAAAGCATGAGTAGTGCTCTACAACGACAATGGCATGGCTCGCGCACCAACAGCCCGTGGTGACCTTTCGAGGACATGACCCCCGGGTATAAAATGCGACGAAGATTGGGCTGTATTTCGAAGCTCCCTCCGTTTGGACGGGAATCGTATTTGGTTTGCCCCCGGCCTCTGACCTGCTGAGACAAGATGTTGACCCCAACTTCTCAGCGGGATTGAAAGCCGGGCACATTTTTGGTTCCCCCTAGGCTTGCGCATTATATTATTAATACTACAGCAGAACCTAGAGGTATGCGCCCCGGATGTAGAGCGTGGAATGTAGCTGGATGCATCGAAGTAGATACCCGAGAGGTAGCCTTGGTTGTCCGCAATGGGCAGCCCGCGCTGCTGTTGTTTACCGTACCGCTGCACCGCGAGAGGGACCCCTACGTCTTGCAAGCCATGCGGTATCTGTTGCGGTTGCCGTTCGCGGCACGAGGTGACGTGTTACGTGTCACCTGTCACTGTTATTTGTTTGTGTATCGCCATGTCATGGGTTAACTTGTGATGTAGCCAACAGCCGCCGAGGTTTAGGTTTCGCATCTTCTTGGGTCGACACGATAACAAATAATCCGTCAAGTCACGTCAAGCGCGGTTCTTCTTCCTTTTACCCCCTGCGATGGAAACTGTACCCATGTACTTTTTATTTCACAGCCAGCACACAAAAGTCGCTTGTTTTCTCTCCAACTCCAGCCCCTGCAACTGCACGTCGTTTGGTTGCTAAATTGATGTGTACAGGACGAGTCGGATGGCGAGGGAGGAGCAGCATCGTGTCCATTCTCTCCCGGTGACACTGTGTCAGGAGTCGTGTCCGCCAACCAAGACAAGGAAGGCAAGGTCGTCGTCGACCTCAACCTCCCGGCTGACACCACCCCCGAGGACACCTCGACAAAAAAGAAAAAGAAGAAATCTCAAGCCAAGCAGGCGGCGGTAGCCACAACCGCGCCGGGGTTCCTCCCGCACCCCCACCTGGGCGATCACGCGTCCGTGTGCGGGCAGACCCTTGCGGCGCAATTAACCCCAGGGACTGTCATCGACCAGCTTCTGGTGCTTGAAGTCGACAAGATGGGGGTGCCCATGGTGACCCTCAAGCCTCTCCTGCTGTCGGCCGTCGCTCGTAGCGGGGAAGACAAGGAGGCGTTTGTCCCAGGGGCTGCGTCGAACGTGTCCCCTGGAGACCTGATCGCCGGGTACGTGTGCCGGGTGGAGTCTTTCGGGGTGTTTGTGAGGTTCTTGGGCAGGTTCACGGCACTGTGCCCGCGGTCCATGGCGGCGGACCGGATGGTGGAAGACCCCAGTGGGATGTTCGAGGAAGGCGACAGCGCTAGGTGGGTGGTAGGTGGGTGGGTGGATCAAGGCCGTGTTGATTGTTGGTTGTACATTAAGAGGGAATACATTTGGGAGTGGGTGTCGTGCTTTAACCCCTGGGTCACCTCTGAGGTATCTCTCTTGCGCGTGCGCTGTACTTCTTGGACATGGCCAATGAGTTTGTGCCCTGGCACTGAGGGTCAACTTTTTGTGGCAGCACCACACAACACAATTCTCTTCAATACCCTTCTGTTTGTAGATGGACGTCATTGTGCATGTAAGATTCCGCCCACGCATCGCAACTGCTGTCATTAACCTCCACCTCCGCCTCCACCTCCCGTCTCCGTTGACCATCAAGGTGTGTCGTACAGCGTGTGGACGAGGACACGGGGCGTGTGGTGGTGACCCTTGACCGCACCACGGTACCCACCTCCCCAGCCCTCTACCTCCGATCCCTTCTCTCGGAGACATTCGCTTCTGCCGCTGGTGGTTGTGCTGAAGCAGCACCTTCCGGCAACCTCACCGGAAACGAAGGCGCTGAGGCTTCGGAAGAGGTCGCTCGGCCTTGGGGTCGTCTTGAGTTTGGGTCAACGACAAATGCGGTGGTGGTGGCGTTGAAGGAGTACGGGGTGGTCTTGAAGGCGAAGGCGTCGAGTGGGAAGCGGGACAAGGACAAGGGTGGCCAGCTGATGGTGTGTCCCCTGGAGCACTCGATGGACGGTGTGGAGGAGGGCAACGAGGTCAAGGTACGCTGCTGCTTTCCTTTTGTCTTGTTTTGTGTGAAGGCTTCACCTACCTCGCGTCGGTTTGTCCGCCAGCTTATCTGTTCGCGGCGTTTGAAGAGCGAGCGCGACTCTGCGTCCGGGTCTGGTCTTCCCTTATGGAAGAATACGGTTCTAGCCCGTTTTGTTGACGTGCCTCTTGTTCATGTGTGCTTTCCTCTGGTGTCGCTGCCGTAGACGAAGTACCGTCGGTTAATATTTGGCGCGTCTGTATCTCATGTAGGCACCATTGATTTTGCAAGGTTAGCTTGTCATCACTCCTGCGTGTATTTTCTTCTGGTAGTCGCAACGGATCCCCCGTGAGGTATTGTACTGGCTCCAACCATTCCAACGTGTTCTCCTTCCTCTTTGTTGCCCGTTGCTTCTCTATTGGTAACAGGTTCGTGTGATCGGGATGGACTTGGAGAAGGGCGTCGTCGAGGTGACCATGGACACCGACCTTGTCAAGGTGAGTCGGGCCAAGGCGAATCGAGATGAGTACATAGAATCTGACATCCACCAGTTGCGGCAGTCATATACATACCACACACGCCGTCTGGAATTGAGCAGAGTGCCGTGGATGGTTATGGAGAAATCTATCTCCTAGTCTGCTGGGACAGCCCCATGCTGAACGAGGCGACTGCTGAATTGGAGACACGCGATGCCTACCAAACCTGGATCCTTTCGATCAGATGGGACGGCGGGTGCATTCCTTGTGTCATACTGCTTTGAGAGGCAGTCAGTCCTTTACGCCGTCTTGTCTTTTGTTGTTGGAAGAGGGAGGGTTGGAAGAATGACCGTGTGCGTGTCGTTGTTGTCGTTGCGCTTGTTTTTTGGGGTTTTTGACTGATCCGTGCTCGTAGGAGCATGCGTTTCTCAGTCCAATTCGCGATTGGAAGCTCTTCTTTTGCATTCTGCTCTTTTGTTTTTGTACAACGTTGTGGTGAAAATGCAGCTCTCCATCTTTTACGCGAGTTGACCCGTACGATATATTGGTTGTTGTGCCCAGAGGCTTTTGCAGTGTCGGAAGGCCAGGCAGTTTTCCTTTGGGAGGTTAATGTTTTTTTGTAGAACACAACACGCTGGCCCAGCTAATCGTGGGGAAGGCTCCGGCCAGTTCCCCTTGGTCCGTTTCATGCCAGCAAGATTCATCTTGGGCGATCGCCTTCGTCGGCAAAAGCTAGCAAAGGCCCGCCCAAGGCACCGTATGCCCGACCTTCGGTGTTTAGAGAAGCCCCCCTTTGTCCTGTCACCCACTGCTATTCCGTAGAGGCAGCCTTGTTATTATCAGCTTTCGCCCGGTGCACCTAAAAGCACCCGTGCTTCCGATGTCAAAAATGATGTCGGGAATGTGGAGTGTGGCGCATCGGGAGGTTGCTGGTTGAGAGGCTGCTGCATATCGGTCGTGCGGTGTGTGGCGTTGTGGCGTTTTTGGTAAGGGGGGCATTTCGCCGGGGCATGTGGGGAGTCAGTACCCCGCTGCGTCGATCGGGTACGGTGATATTCGTGTGATAGTCTACGTTTATGTGTGGTATGTGGAGTTATGTTGTACGAAACAGACTACGTGCTCTTTTTGTTGCGATTGTTGTTGGTGAGCTTGACGACCACTGTCGAACTCAGGTATTAATGGTGAATTGATGGTGTGTCTGCTGTCAGGGCTCCAAGCTGATTTTATTGTTGTGTTGTTTTGATCTGTGAAATTTGCCAACCTCGACAACAGCAACCTTGTTTTGTTGGGCTCAAATGGTTTTTGGGTGTGTCGGTGTGCACCATGAGGGAGTGAAACACGTCGTGATGCTGAACACTCCTTTCGATGCCCTTGCCCCCCCCCCCCCCCCCACTTTTTGGCCTGGCCGTGATGGGCAGGACACTACACCACTCATCGTGTGTAACTTAATTGTCGCCTGGTAAACTTGATCGATGTTTTTACGCATCAGGATCATATGAACCGTAATGGGTGTTTTGCGGAGATACGGCAGATTTTTTTATGCCATTTTCGTACGCACTATTCACACCCATACCAACGTGTTCCGTATCCGTGCAGGCTGGGCGTTCGAAACACCTCCGGGCTATGGTGCCGCTAGAGGCAGGGGAGACCGTTCCCGCGAAGGTGTTGGTGGCCAAACCCAATGCCAAGTGGGCGGTAGCCGTCTCCGATGATGGACAGGGCCGCCTCTTCGTCCTACAGGTGTGCTGTCCCCTTCTCAGCATGAAAATCTCGACTCGCGCTGGTTTTTATTAATCCTGCTGGTGTTGAGGCCGCTGATGTCAACACTGTTTGCGAATACTGCTGCGGGAACCGCTGTGGGCACTACTGCTGTACATGTACCGTCCAACTTTGTCGGGTGTCAGTTTCTTATGGATCGCGTGAGCATGGATAACTCTGGGCGTAGACCTTGCACCATAAGAATTTTTACCCAATACTACAGTCATGGACATGAGGTGCACGGCTCTACCAGACTTTTTGGCGAGCACCCCCAAAATGACATTTGGTTGATCAAAAACTCTCCAAGACAACTACGGCACATGGCTCATATGCACATCACTTGTTGTTCTTATATGGTATGTGTCGTTGCATGTGGTTGAAGTGAGTCGGCGCCCTAGTCCGCTCTGTGGTTGTCTTGAGTCCGCAGCAGGTTGGTCGCTGAAATGCCCATCTCCTCGAATAGCATCACCCGTTCTCTCTCCGTTCTCCATTCGATTTCCCCCAGCAGCTAGAAGTCACTACGTGTCATGTTACCCGCCAAGCCCGATGCCTCACTGCTGTCCATTTCTCTCTCTTTCGTGCATCTCAATCGATACACTGACTGTCTTGCTTTTTAAGTGATGACTGCAGCGTGTCAATAGTACCACTAGTTGTCGTCCTCTTGATCACGTCCTGATTGCATTTCGAATCCCGTTGTCACTCCCAGGTGGCAGATTTCCACTGCCCTCACCGAACCTGCGAAGACGCTGGCCTCTGCCCAGACACCCCAACTGCTGACCCTGCTGACCCCTCGTCATCCGAAGCCAAAAGAAGAACCTTCGTGGCTAAGGTGGGGGAGTCCTTTACGCCAGGCCTGGAGGGCTACTGGGAGGCAAGGGAGGACGGCGTCGGTGCCAGTGGATGCAATCCTTACGCTGGAGCGGTGCTGGTTGTTGAGGAGGCTGACGGGAACACCGGCAAGCGAAAGGTGCGTTGCTTTCCTTGCATCGCCGGGCGGACCGTAGATGACGTGACAGAAGACACCACACCCCATGGACCGATTTTGAAGGACCGAGTACTCCTCGACCAAGAGGATTCCGAAGGCAAACGATACGTGTACAGAAAGCTCTAGACCGGAAGATTCGACTCCGATACTTTCGGCACCGTCACTTCTTTCCTAGCCGAGTTATCACGCTTCGAAAATCGGCCCAGGGGGTGGGATCTTGTGCAACCAACGGTGTATTGATGGTTTTGATGGATTTTGTCTTGACGTGATTGCAGCTGGTGGGTTGTGTATACAATACTCCTTCTCTCTAGCATCCGTACCGGAGCAGCTGATACGGACGACTTAGGTGATCACAGGCCATCCACCCAACAAAAAGTGCACCCTTGATTCATGTGTGCTGTTGTGTTATTTTGGTCCTGTGAGCCTGAAGCGTCGCACCGATCTATTTGATCATGTGGGATCCCTGTGTTTTCATCATATGATAGGACTTGATGTAGTCTGGGCCTCAAGCGTTGGTAGCGAAGGTGACGACACATCTTTTGATGCGCATACCCATGGAGTTGATCTTGTGCGTCGTCGCTTGGAACAATCAATGCTAACCCATGGTCGGCTACACAACTCCAGCGATAGGCTTGTTGAAGTAGAGAAACTCAACGACCGTTGTTGCGACGAGACTGGCCACTCGACTCCTACCATGGGTTGATTGAACGCGACCCCCTGTTTCGCCTTCAATGAACTCATTGTAGGAGTCGAGTGGCT